GATCCTGGGGTTGGGATGGGATGTGTTCGGCAGGGCAGGGTGCGGGAGCTAGGTTTGGGGGTGCCGAGGGTCACTGGCCCAGCAACAGGGAAGGGAAGGGCCCCCACGTTCCTGCCTTCGGGCACTACGGTGCCAGGGAGTGCGAGGGGGGGCTGCGGTGTCTGGCTCACCGGGGCTGTGCCCAGCAGTCTGCAACGCGGGGGTGGGACTGATGGGCCCCCTGGAGACCTGCTCCGACCAGGCCATGAGGACCCTCTTCGACGTGAATTTCTTTGGGGCCGTCCGCACCATCCAGGCGTTCCTGCCCGCCATGAAGCGCCGCAGGGCCGGGCGGATCATCGTCTCCAGCAGCATCGGGGGGCTGCAAGGTAGGACCTGGCCCTGCTGCGGCGGGACCCCCGGCACCCTGTGGCACGGGGAGCCATGGGGAAGGGACCCGGTGCTCAGAGTGCGGCTCTGCCCCAGGGCTGCCCTTCAACTCCGTGTACTGCGCCAGCAAGTTTGCGGTGGAGGGGCTGTGCGAGAGCCTGGCCATCGTCCTGCGGCCCTTCAACATCCAGTGAGTGCCGGCAGCGCCGCGGGGGCTGCCCTCCTGCCCCCCAGGCACCGGGACGGGGGGACGCGGGGACGGGGGGGTACGGCGGCATCCCTCACGCGCTCGGCTCGGCGCTGCCGCCCCGCTCCCTCCCGCAGCCTGACGCTGGTGGAGTGCGGACCCGTCAACACCAGCTTCCTGGCCAACCTGCAGCGCCCGGACCCCGAGGGCAGCGAGCTGCGGGGCCTGGACGCCGAGACGCGGAGCCTCTACCGCCGGTACCTGCGGCACTGCCAGAGCGTCTTCCGCGAGGAGGCCCAGGAGGTGGAGGAGGTCCTGCAGGTCAGTCCCTGCGGGATGGGGGCTCGGGGAGGGGTCCGTGCCCAGGGGTGGCCGCGAGGCCATTTCGGGGCCGGGTCTGACCCTCTGCGGTACCAGGTGTTCCTGGAGGCCATCGGCACCCCCTGCCCGCCCCTGCGCTGCCTCACCACCCGGCTCTTGGCCCCGCTCTCACGCCTGAGGCTGGCCAGCCCCGACGGCTCCGCGTACGTCCAGGCCATGCACGACTTCGTGTTCGGCTGCGGCGAGGCCGGTGGGGACCAGCCCTGAGCAGAGCTGCCGTGAGCCCCGGGGGGCCGTGCCCTGCAGCCCCCCAGCCCTGCAACGCCCGTCCCGGCCGCGGGGTCTGTGTGTGTGTGCGGGGGGGGGGGGGTGTCGGTCCCAGCGTGTCGCCAATAAAGCCCTTTCTGCATCCGCACTGCCCCGGCTCCGTCCCTGTCGCCGCGGCCCCCGCCGAGCAGCCCAGCCCGGTCCCCGCGGGCTCCCCGTGTCTGCGCTCCGGGGTCCCGCGTGGGTGTGTGGGGGGGTGTCCCCGGGATCCGGCCGTGCTCCGCGGAGCTGGCGGGGGCCGCGGCGTGCCCGCGGGCACCCCGCGCCCGGTGCGGCGGGCGGGAGGCCGGCTCCGTCCGTCTCCTCCCTCCGCGGGCGGAGCCCGGCCCCGACGCTCCGCCCGCCCCCGGGCCCCGGTTCCGGGGCGGTCTCGGTTCCCGAGCGGTTCCGGGGCGGTCCCCGGCCCGGCCATGCCGCCCTTCGGCTCGGGGCTGCTGGTGCTGACGGCCCCGCTGGGCTCGTTGCCGCGGCGGGCGGCGGCGGCGCTGGCGGCGGCGGCGGGGGTGGTGGCGGGGCCGCTCTACGTGCACCTGCAGCCGGGGCTGGCCCTGGCCGCCCCCGCGCCCCGCCCCGCCGCTCCGCCCGCCTGCCCCGCGCTGCTCCGCGCCCTGGCCGCGCTCTACGGGGCGGCGGCGGCGCAGCGGGGCCTGGACCTGCGCGTCCTGCTCGGGCCCGGCCGCCTGGCCCGGCCGCCCCGCGTCCTGCTCGCCGCCGCCGCCGAGGCGCCGGGGCCGCCGGGGCCGGTGCGGCTCGGCCTGCAGCGCCTGGCCGCCGCCGCCTACGGCTGCCCGCCGCGCCTGCCCGCGCTGCTGCTGGGGGACCCCGGGGGGGACCCCGGGGGGGACCCCGGGGGGACCCCGAGGGGGACCCCGAGGGGGACCCCGGGGGGGACCCCGCCGCGCCGCTGCCCGGCTTCTCCGACGTGGCGGTCGGCGGCACCTTCGACCGCCTCCACGGCGCCCACCGCCTCCTGCTCAGCGCCTGCTGCCTCCTGGCCCGGCAGCGGCTCCTGGCCGGGGTGGCCGACGGCGACCTGCTCCGCCGTGAGTCCCCGGGGCGGCCGGCACCGTGCGGGGGCGGGGGGGGGAGCCGGGCGGCCGGCCCCGGTGCTGCGGTCGGTGGGCCCCGCGGTGTGCGGGGTCCTGGCAGCCCTGCACCCGAAGCGCCCGGGCGGGGTGGTGGCAGGGACCCGTCCGTACCAGCGAGCGGGGCGCGCGGAGCGAGGGCGCAGTGGAGGCGAGGGGAGCTGGAGGAGGCAGCCCCCCCCAGGCCCTGGAAGGGTTTTGTCTGCGTCTCCTGGTCTTGCCGCTGCTCTGGGAGCTGCGCGTCGTTAAACAGACGCTCTCTTGCTTCTCCACCCTCCTGGTGCCTGGCAGACAAAGTCCTGGCGGAGCTGATCGAGCCGTACGAGCTGCGAGCGGCAAAGCTGCGCGAGTTCCTGGAGGACGTGAAGCCCTCGCTGCGTTACGACATCGTGCCTTTGGCTGACCCCTACGGCCCCTCAGTCACGGACCCCAGCCTGCAGTGCTTGGTGGTCAGCGAGGAGACCCGCAGGGGAGGGGAGGCCGTCAACAAGAAGAGACTTGAAAACGTAATGTCTGCACGGGAGCCCCCTCCCGCCCCCTCTCCCCTGCCCACCGCTGGCTGGGGGCAAATCGGGGCCCCGCGGCTGTTCGGTGCCGTAGCCCAGCCTCGAGGGCGGGATGCCCCCGCGCCCGTCTGCCAGCGCCCACAGATGGGTGCTTTGTGCCGAGCTGCCCCCAGCTGCGTGCGCCCCAGGGATGGTGCAGCAGAGGGTTGGGGTCAGACGGGCAGCTCCGTGGGCTCCGTTCCCCTCTCGGCAGCTGAGAACGTGCCCCTCGTGGGGACGGAGCTGCCCCATGGGGACACTGGCGGCGGCCGTGGCCTCGTTTGCGCTTCTTCATTCAGGCCTTGACCTCCCGCTGAGCCCCCCTTTCCGCGGCTGACGGCCCTCGGGGCTCTTCTCTCGCAGGGGCTCCCCGAGCTGGCTCTCTATGAGATCCTGTTGATGAAGGACCCCGACCACAGTCAGAGCGAGGAGGAGAAGATCAGCTCCTCCAGCCTCCGGCAGAGGCTGCTGGGGACGCTGCTGCGGCCCCCGCGGGTGAGGGGGTGCTCGGAGAGCTGCGGGCTGCGATGGGAACGGTGTGCCCGGGACGAGGGGTGCAGGGGGACAAGTTTCGGAGGACTGCCTGCCTGCTGCCTGTCCCGGCCCCTGGCGGGAGCAGGCCCCTGCTCGGCAGGGCCAGGACCTTCCATGCCTGTCTCCAGGCCGGGTGGTCGGGATCCTTCTCCGGCAGAGCCCGTGTCCTCTGTCTGCTGGCCATGGCTTTCCTTCTTCCCTTAGCAAGACCCTGCCTTGCCTTCGCGCCCATACGTGATCGGCCTGACTGGAGGAACTGGGAGTGGGAAAACCTCCATCGCCAAACTCCTGGGGCAGCTGGGAGCGTTCATCATCGACGCCGACAAGCTGGGCCACGCCGTCTACGCCCCTGGTGGCCCTGCCTACGAGCGGGTGCTGGCGGCTTTTGGGGCAGGTAGAGCCACCGGGGGCTGCGGGGGAGACTGGGAGGAGGAAGAGGAGGGAGAGGTGTGCCATCGTCCTGGCATCCCAGGGAGCCGTCCTGGCCCAAACTCCCCTCCCTCCCCGTGGGTTTTGGGCTCCACACCCAGCTGGAGATCTGTAGCTGATTTGGTGGTGGTTGGGCCTGAGCGTGGCAAACCAGCCCTTTCCCCAAAGTCTCACGTGTCCTGTGTCAGAGCTACTGTAAACCGGCTGGTGTGGAAGGCTAAACTGGGCTGCTGCTTGCCTAGGAAAAGCTTTTCCCTGTCCATCTCTGGAGTAAGGTGAAGAACTGCCAGATCAGGTCCTACAGCTCCTTTCTGAGTCCCTTTGAGAGCCCCGTGCTGAAATCCTTTCATGGTGAGCTAGGCTTGCTGCAGGGAAGTGAGTTGGATTTGTTCCTCCCAAGCCTGTTCTGCTTCTGTCTTGCAGAGATCTTGAATAAAGACGGGACAATTAACAGGAAAGTCCTTGGAGCCAAAGTGTTTGGAAACCAGGTGAGAGCAGCACAGACACTGTCAATATTTAATCTCGTGAGTGGGAAGCTCTCCATCTGTGCTGAGGCTTTTTATTTTTCAGCCCTTTGAGCTGATGGTGCCTTCCTGACTGTACTTTCTGGCAGTGACGTACAGACAGGGCAGGACACACAGATCCTGCCTCTGTAGCCGAGTCAGCAGCCGTGCTGGACACGCTCTTCTCGTCCCAGCAGCTGCTGCTGCCTCCCCAACCCCGTCCCCTCTGTCCCACGCTTGTCCTTCACCCAGCGTGGAGCAACAGCCCTGACGTACGTGGAGCCGGTGCTCTGCCCCGTGCATGGTTTGGGCTTGTACCCAGTGGGGCTCGGTGACAGAACGGCTCTGTGCCCGGCTTTGCTGGCCAGGCCATCGCTCAGCCTTTCCCTGAGGTCCTGCGGGCTGCCCCACCCAAGCACGAAGGCAGCTCGAGGGGTTCCCCTGAGATGGACAGGTCTCGCGTGGGTGCTGCTGCGTGGGGAGCTCGCTCTGCTGCGGGGTCGGTCCTTGCAAAGCGCCTCTCGCAGCAGAGCCCGAGGTTCTGCCGTGCCTGGCAGGGCAAGGAAAATACTAGGGAAAAGAGCCTTGACCCCGTCAGCAGGCATGGGAGCCTCTGGCCAGCGTGGAAGTTTCCCTTCCTTGAGCTTAGGGAGCAGGCAACGGGGTGGGTCCATCCCCCGTGCTGGGTGCCCTCCGTGACTGCTGTGGCCACCGGTGGTCCCCTTGTTGGCTGCCCGTGGCTTCTGAGGGCAAGTAACCGAATGCTGTCGTGGTCCTTTCTAGGAGCGGCTGAAGAGTCTCACGGACATTGTGTGGCCTGAGATGGCCCGGATGGTCAAGGAGCAGATTGGGGAGGCGGACGCTCAAGGTATCTGGGGTGGCTCCCGTCGCAGCACTAAGGTGGGAGTTGGGTGCATGGTCTTGTGCAGCACACCACGACCCAGCGCCCCTGGGAACCTGCTGCTTTTGGCAGCACTGTGAGTATTTTCCATGATCAGACCCCGCTTTTCTCTGCTGGGCGTTTTCACTAGCACATCTCTCAGCAAACTCCTTCGCTCCGCTGGGACAGGCTTCCCTCGAGCTTCCTGCTTTGAAGGAGGGTGGACGTTGCTTTCTCTTTCGCATGTGACTTCATTTTTGGTGTAGCGCTCCAGCAGTGAGCCTGGTGTGTATTTCTTCTGGGGGCAAAATTTTTCCAGCTCTTGGGAGATGCTGTTGGTAGCTCGATAGGCGTTTGGCTGCAGGCATTGGCTTGCCATGCCTGAGAGACCTGCCATCCCAGGCATGCCCTTAAAGCAAACACAGCCTCTGCCTGCTGCTCTGTTTTACCACGTGAGGTTCTTTGGCTCAGCAGTAAAGTGTCTGTGCTGCCAGTTTGCAGGAAGGCGTAACTCTACGGCTGCAAGTGGGCTGGCTGGGTTGGACCCCGAGGAGCAGTCGCGTTGTCTGGCGATTGCCAGGTGGTGAGGAATGGCCTTGTTCCGTAGGAAAGGCCGTCTGCGTGCTGGACGCTGCCGTGCTGCTGGAGGCTGGCTGGCAAGACATGGTCCATGAGGTGTGGACGGCCATCATCCCGGAGGAGGAGGTGGGCGATGCCCCTCAGCCCATCGCTCGCTGCCGGGGCTGGTCCTCGGCTTCCCCGCCGAGCCTGAGCATCCCCCCTCGTCCTGCCAGGCTGTGAAACGCGTCGTGGCCAGGGACGGGCTGAGCGAGGAGGCTGCTCGCGGCCGGCTGCGGAGCCAGATGACAACAGCCAAAGGGTGGAGCGGTCGCAGGTGGTGCTGAGCACGCTCTGGGAGCCGGGACGTCACCCGCAAGCAGGTGCCGGCCGCGGCGCTGGGGTCTGTCCCGGCTGGCAAAGGGGGAGGCGGGCGGCTGCGGCAGGGACCGGAGGGCTCAGTGCTGCGCCGGGGCTGCGTGCGTCGTGCCCGGGCACGCTGCTCGCCATCGGGGCTGTACGGGCTCGGGGATGTAAACGCAGCAGGGAGGGGA